CCGCTCGGCAGGTGCCCGGCGCCCCGACCGTTGGAGCGAGCCCGCCGGTCCCGAGGGCTCCCAGCGGGCTTCCCTGCCTCTTTAGGAGGGAAAAAGCAACCGCCATCCCCCMAAAAGAGCGCTTTGTGTAGAATCTCACCCGTAAAATACAGCCCCCGGGCTCTGGAGGAGCCCSCTGCCTCAGTGAGCAGCGGGAGCGGCCGTTAACGGCGTTTGTGGCTGTGAGGACGGCGGGAAATCCCCAGAAACCAACTTCTTATTTTTTTATCATTTTAATTTTAAGGGCKTCTTGAAATACAGCAGCCTTGGCAGGAAGGTGCCCTAGCAATACCCATGGACGGTAGGAGTAGGTAGCTGGGGTGGTAAATGAGCTTTTTTACCCCAGTTTGGCTTGCGGCTCCTCTGGGCTGGTGGAGATGGTGGAACGTGTAAAACGCCGCTGCGGAAGTGGCAGCGGTTGGGCTGGAGCAGTTCGAGTTGCTCCTTTAAGGGCAGACAACGTGCAGGGCCGCTTGTGAAATAATCATTTCCTTCCCCATCTGCGGGGCGATGAGTAATGGGTTACTTGGGCGTTCTGAAAACTTTAAATTGGTGCCTTAAAAGCGGGAGGGAAAATAGGCAGACTTTTTGWTTAAAATGTTTAAGTACTTCCTGCACATGTGCAAATCTCAAAGGCTCAGTTAATACTTTTCTGGTTAGAAAAGATGGTGCCCCTTGGTTAGAATCTCTGTTCTCCTGAAGTACTAGTAACAGCTTTTATGAATCTAAATCATTATTTTAACTACTTAACTGCAGCCTTTAGGGCCTCTGATTTCAGGACTGATCTTGACAAATGCCCTGTAAGTTTGTTTATGTTTAAGAAGTGTGTTGCAGAAATAGGAATCCTTCAAAAGATAAATATTTTGGAATGATTTGGCTTTGGGAATAGTTAATAAAACTGTGTGGCTTTGAAAAAGAATAATGGAGGAGATAAGTGTTCTCTTGTTGTGTCCTTAAGATCTGCTTTCATTTCTGTTCTTCTGGTTTATGTGTCTTTGTGAGCTTTCAACAGGTTACAAGTAGTTCTGCTTCAGTAGAGTTTGTCCAATGCACATACCCGTGATATCTTTTTTTCTCCTATTATTTTTGAAAGATTTTCCTCACTGTTCCCTCCTTCTGCTGTTTCCCTTTTATAGAGTGAGTCTCTGGTGGTTTGTGATGTTGCTGAAGACCTGGTGGAGAAACTGAGAAAATTCCGGTTTCGTAAAGAAACCAACAATGCTGCCATTATAAGTAAGTTAAAAACATTACTGGCAAAAGTTGCAAGGTCTTGCAGAAAATCCCATCTCCTCTCTTCCCTCCCGTGTAATTTTGCTGCTGTAACAGACARTTGTGATCCAAGAAGATGCTTCTGGTGTAAGCTTCAGTACCTCCCATCCCCTGTGTGATTTTAATAACAATGTGATGATCTTCTCGTGCTGCAAGACTTGGCCTCATTTGTTCTTAGCGGAGTGTTAATACTTACGTGTGGCTTAAGGTCTGCCACTAGTTGTAAAATGACAGCAAAATACRAAGTCCAAGTATGCTGATTTTGAGTTTGTGAACTCCGTGGCCATGAAGTAACAGATTTTGAACTTTCTGCCTTTGAAATTTGGAGAGAGAGAGGAAAAACAAAAAATGCAGTGAACAGCACTAGATTGTGCACTTCTTTTAACTGCAAAGATTTTATGAAGTCTTGGGATAAGGATGGAAGAGCAGAAGGGAAGCACAAGGACCGTGCTGCTGGGGGAGATCAAAAAGCTTCACTCGTACATTGTATAAAGTGATGGCTGGACTGCAGTTTAAATGTGGGTGGATGTAAGCRTCTTTATATAAAAAGTTGATTTATTTTATTTTGATTTATAGTGAAAATCGACAAGGATAAACAGCTGGTGGTACTGGATGAGGAGCATGAGGTTTGTTAAATGAATTGTAAATAAGAGTATCTTCAGCCTGCAATGTATTGTTGTCTCTAAGGTACTGCCTTAGTTTCAAATCGTTATCAAACTCTTAATCTAATTTGGGTCATGAGCTTATTTAAATGCATGGTCACTCTGCATGTAAAACACAGCACTATTAATAGTGGAACTTTTCAGAGGCGATTGAGTTGACTAATTAATGGCACAAGGCTTAATTTAAAGCTGTAACAATATAATATTGTATGTAGAAAGCATCTCTTGGCACTTGCTAGCTTTTTGAAGAGATTTCTGCTGCATTTCCATGTTGATCTGCATATTTGACTCTGAACTGATTTGTTAAGAGCAATTAAGAGCATTGCTAATCCTTTCCAGACTCTAAATATGATAGGTGGCATAATAAGGTCAGACCAGTGTGTAGTGTTTCTTGATGGTGCATAGGGCAAAATTAAATCCTTTGCAGGGATTTGGGTATTAAAGCTCTTATTCCCCAGAATGGGGGAGATAATATAACATCTGAAGAGAACAGGGACTTTTTCTGCTGGAGAAGGAAGGGCTGAATTTCCAAAAGCACCATTTATGTAGTTGACTTTAACAGATACTCTCTTGGATGTGCTTACTTTTGCTTAATAGTAAAGTTAGAAAAGCAGAGTAGCTGCCAGCATATCCAGCTAGAGCCAAAAATGTTTTCTAAACCCGTTATGTCTAAAATAGGGATGATTATTCATGCTCACATTAATTCTGTTTAGTCATAGGAATCTATTAACAGGCAAGGTTTCCTAAAGTGCTGTAGTAATTTGTGCGAGAGATCATTATCAGTTAAACTGTGGATGTGCATTTAACTTGCAGCTGTTTCACTCTACTGCTGTTCTGTTTCAGTCTTCGTTGTATGTGGCTGCAAATTAATTTGCTCAAATCTTGCTTGTGTTTAATATTACCAGGGTATCTCTCCCGATGAACTAAAAGACGAGCTGCCCGAGAGACAACCTCGATATCCTTCTCACATTGCTGACATCTGGTCTCGCTCATTCCTGGAAACTGCTCAGAATGTTCCAAGTTGGATTTCCTACTTTTTTGCCAATACTTGGCCATAGTGCAAGTCTACTAATGTTGTAGCTGTGAAATAATGCAGGGATCAGCTCTCGTGAGGCACCGAGCAGTCGTGTTCCACTTTGTAAAGACTAAGTCGACCAATAACTGGTAACRCTTGAGCCTTTTCCTCAAGGAAAAGGTTTGACTTCCCCCAAATGATACAGCATATAGTTTAAAAGGAAATAAGCTGAAGCTACACTATTAATATCAAGAAATGGCTATACTAATTCTGTATGTGGTTCCTTAAAAGTATAGAAAACTGCCTGTGTAGCTTAGGACATGTTTTGATAATTTCTGAGCAAGTGACCCATGCTGTTTTGCTGTTGTAACCGCGTTTGGGAGGAGTGTAGGTGTGTGAATTGGGAAGAGTTTGTTTACTTCAGAGGCAGGCTGGGTGGTGTTATTCCAGGTGCCATTCTTAATCTTTTTGATGGACATGACATGGTAGGAGGCTATAAGAGAAGAATTTTGGCTAAAATTTGCATTCAAGTTCAGCAAAACACCTGAAACAAAGCAGTGCTTAGTCTTCAAGGAAAGAATTTGGCTTTCATGAGGTCAGAAACTTAGTGGTGGGTGTGGGAAGTCTTTTTAGAAAGCTAAATGGGGGACAACTGTATGCAATGAAAAGGGTGATTTTTCACCCTCTAATGTGAAATGAAACAGCAGTACAGAAGCACCTCTTGCCCCCTGATGTGGGAGGGCTTGGTAAAGAAAACTAGGGTCAAAACCACTGAAAGTCACATGTGGATTTGAAATAGTAGATGAAAGTGAAGATAGGAGACCAGTGAGATGAATTATTGAAGTCAGAGCATTTTCTGGAATGTAAAACTGAAAAGAACTTTGGCTTTGATAACTGGGGGTTGTAGCTAATAAAATCATGGATTTTTACTTTCTTTAACCTCAGAAAAACATTCATTGTGTATAGCTACAAGTATCAGCATGATGATGGAAGAGTTTCTTACCCATTGTGCTTTATCTTTTCCAGTCCAGTTGGTGAGTAAATATTGTGAATGATATCTTCTATGGCAGAGAACATTCAGTGTTTACAGTACATAGTAGCTAAAATGAGTGCTTCGTGCTCAAACAGTGATTCAGATACTGAAGGATAAACTTGGTTATGCCAGTACCGAAATCAGGGCACTGTAAAGCTGCAGTATTAGCTGGAGAGCTTTGATAAAGAGGAATSTCTGGAGTAAAAGCTCTGTTCTCACTGTCAGATTGTTGCAAGTGTGAATATTTACATCCATCCAAATCTCCTTAGTTGTTAGAGGTTCTCAATGCATTTGGGGCTGGCAGTGGTCAGGGAGAAAGAAACTAGAACCTTAGGTTGTCCCAAGTTTATTGACTTCTACTTCCCTTACAGTGACCCTCAGTATAGACCAGGCTGCACTTGGAACTGTCATTTTAGTAGAAGTCAAACAACATGTGACTTCATTTGAATTTTACAGGGCTGAATCACCCCTGAGTGCCCTATGTGTTCAGAGTTGTAGTAGGGTAACTTTCTGGTATGACTGGATTATCCTCGTTATCCTATGGAAGAAGATGATAAATTGATTACATTATTTGATCCTTCTTGGAGCTAGGATAATGAGGCAGGTTAAAGATTAGCAACTCATGAGTATATTTGTTGGGGTTACCAGAGCATCTCTTGTGTGAATGTTAGGGGTGTTACTTCTCTTCAGGAGGATATTCTGAGAGTGGAACAGCAATAAGAATCTTCCTGAAATAGCTGATGCAGGTGAACTTAACACTGATAGGAACAGACAGTTTATCTCATGCTCTTCATGGTCTGTAGGATTTAAAACTATGCCCATACCTGGAACTTTCTAAACAAGAAAAAATATTAAAGAAAAGGTGTCCAGATCTTTCGTGATCTTTTGGTTTCCAAAAATATTCTGCACACAAAAGTTAGTGGTCAGGCTGAGTCATAGGTGATAAACCAGCAGTTGGAAGTCTAACCATCTACTTAATGTCCAGTGTGACTGAAGCTGCTCTGGTTTGCATTGAATTTAAAAAAATAAAATAAAAATTGAGCTATGAATTAAGCTGGAGGGTTTGGAGGAGACTGGAAGAGAGCAGAGGTTCAAACCAGTGCAGTGTGTGAATTTATTTTTGATTCAAATTCAGATGCATTCTCTATTCTGAGCTGTGTAAGTGTAACTAGCAAAGACCTGGAAATCTAGACATAGATGGCAGAAGGATGAAGAATTTAACGTGGTGTAATTGGCACCACAGGAGGTAGTAGTTGTTGGTCTGTAGTACCACTACAGGAGGTAGTAGTTGTTGGCGATTTGGTGGCTGTTTGCTGTGAATTGCAATTAAAGCTTAATTACTGTGATGTTTGTCAGCTCTAAGCAGAAATACAAATATAACCTGAGTACCACATGACTATAACCAGCAAATGCTTTTCAAGTACGAAAGTTAAGAGCAAGGATGATAYGGTATGTAAAGAATTAGGTCAGTCTTCTGCGTGGAGACTCAGCTTTTGATTTGGATTAAAAAAAGCTTCTTTGAAGTATTGCAGTGAAAATATCCAAACCCCGTTTTTTCTTTTCCCACAACTACAGGATGTAAGCCTGAGCAGCAGATGATGTATGCTGGGAGCAAGAACAAGCTCGTGCAGACAGCTGAACTCACTAAGGTATAAATGACTATTTGAAATAAGTGTCTCCCCCTTAAGTGCATGTTTCAGAATTTGATGTTTTTCTCTTAGCCTCGTATAGATACAGTACAAATAAGAGTGAGCAGGTTCTGCTTCAGGAAGACAGAAAAAAAGGAGCACGCATAGGAATTTTGGGATTTTTAAGGGACAGGAAGAAGAAAAATGTTTTCTAAGGCCAAAAGTGGGGCCAAAATCTTTCATTGGGGTAGTATCTTTTTGGAGAAATAATTTTTGAGAAGGATAGGGTGAAATCTATTATGGTATATTCTTGTTTTGCTATAAGCTGCATGATTTATAGGATTCTGTACTTACAGAATGTAGCCTTCAGAATTTAAGTCTAAAATGAAAGCAAGAGGGAAGGCAGTTGCAAAAAACTTACTGCTTGACTTTGTTAGTACGTACCTGTGTTGGCTGCCTATGTAGCAAAGCCATCAGTGCGTGAAATAACCATTGCTTGGTTGGTAAAAATTAAATAGATAATAGAATGGAATTTAGACTGCTTTAAGTATTTGTAAATAATAGGAGTCAGTTATAGAACAACTGCAAACCTTCCTTTCCCTGCTTTCTCTACAAAAAAAAAAAAAAAAAAATCACTGCTTTCACTAGACATAAGTATTAAGAGGAAAAAAAAAAAAAGTTCCCTAATTGTCATTTTTGAGGTCTTTGAAATTTCTGTTTAATTAGCACCTGCATTTTTCAAGGTTTTAGTTTTGGCTAGGAAAGCTACATAGATTCAATGGTCACTTGTTTTTCATACAGTATGGGATGATTTCACCACTATTGTCTGTTTTACGCTGACCAAGTTCTTTAACATCCTGGTAAAAACGTATATTGGGGCAAGGGGAAGATTGTCACCTTCCACCCTTCTAGAGGCCGTTTGTAAGAAAGGAACATTCAGCCAGGAGCAAGAACTGATGAAAAGAAGGCAGAAGCCTGGGAACAACTATTTTGTAGTTGTTCCCACTTGTCAAGTGGGAGGAATTCTGTCTGAAAGGCTTTGGAGCGGAAGCCCAGATTAGAGGCACGCGATTATCTTCCTTCTGGGGCTGCCCCTGCCCTGCAGCCGGCTCAGGTTGTTTACTTGCTGCTCTACCCTTGCTCCTCCCCGAACCCTGTTTCATTCTTGCTCATGCTGTGACTTCCTCCTGCCCTGATTGCTGCAGGGATTCAGCTGAGACCTCTTGTTTTTCAATGACTYGCCTGTCAGCTTGGCTTCTGTTAAGCTCTAAGGCTTAATGCTCTAGTTCTGATTTTTATTTATTCCATATTTTATTTAATAAGTTAGTATTTTAGTTGATAGTAGTGAATCACTGTCCAAATACAAGAATCACTGTCCAAAGACTATTCCAGCAGGGATGGGTAATGAGAAACGATAGGAAATCTAAATTGTTTCCTACAGAAGATTAAATTGGTAAAATGGGTAAGGACAAAATGGCAAGTTTGCAGATTCTTCTAAAACTCTATTTRTTATGCCAACCTTAGCATGCTTTTTGCAGCAGTGTAAGTTGAAAGGATAGATAATTGATGCAGTGCTAGAAATAGCTTTATTTTGAATATGGTCAGAATAGTAACAGCAATCTCAAAATAGTTTTCTTGCAAAACACTTCCCAAGGTCTATGGATTTGCAAAACTTATTTACCTGCCTCTTCTGAAAAAGATCACCCACCGAAAGTTTCCATTTAATAATATAGAATGGACTTTAAATTCTCCTGGAGGTGTCAAAATAGTCACTTTCCAACATGGAATGTAAAGAATATATTTGTGGCTTGATGTCATTTTCTAACTCCAGATTATATTGATTTAATAGAATTTTTGAGGCAATTTTTAAGGCTTTTTTTTTTTTTTTTTTTTGAGGGAGGCAGAATGTGTTTCAGTGGTACGGATTTATTTCATTCAAAGGAGAATAACTGCATCTTGAGCTAAACAAACTTCCTGGTCTTTGGGGCTAAGTCAGGGCAGAAGTTAAATTTGTTTTTACCCTTCAGGTGGGTGACCCTCTTGCTCTCAAGGCTAAGGAATTAGAGATGATGTTGTTTCAAAGTAGCTTAAATGTGTAGCAATTATTGTGTTCTCGTGGGTGTTCTTAAAGAACTAGAATGAAGTGTAGAAGTAGGAATTATGAAGTTTTCACTTGCTTTAGTTAGTAACAATTTTTGACACTTATGATCTTACGTATTTTCTACTTGTTACTCTGAAATATTAACTGATGAAAGTGGATGAAAGTTCTAGTTTGGTTATTGGCCTACAGCTATTTTAAAGTCTACTGATAACCTGTGAGGAAAGGTATTTAATGCATCATATGCTTATCCCTGTTGAATACAGTTATTTATATGTTACCGTTTTGTTTAGGTATTTGAAATAAGAAATACAGAAGACCTAACTGAAGAATGGCTGCGGGAGAAACTGGGCTTCTTCCATTAAGAAAACCTCTGTAATAAGTATTTATGTACCATCCTGATAATACTGGAACCAGGCATGAATACTTACATCTAAATGCACTGTATTTACATGTCTCCTGCAGTACATCTCTTGTGCAGAGTTTGTGCGAAGAATAGCCAGTCTGTCTCCTTGAAGTAACAAATCTTTGCAGGCATTTCCTTATATGTACCTTATAAAGGGAATACTCCTCCGCAGGGACTCCTTTTGCACTCCTGTGATTAATATTTCTATAATTAGAATAGTTCAGTTCTGAATTTATAACTATCTTACCAACATAATTTGGAAGCTGACGCTAACTCTTTCCGAGCTACAAATGCATCCTTACGGCGTATGCAAGCCACGTATATGCAAAAATTGTGTAGTCACTGACTTGTCAGACTTTTTGACTTCATGTCTTCTGAATTTTGCAAACTAGTCCCTGGAAGTATTTAGTACTAAAAAGACAGAATCCTTGTACAGCAAACCTATCCCTCTGTCCTTCCATTGAGTCCCYCTGAACTTTTCCAAATTCCCGGAATAACCGTTTTTTGTCATTCCAGTGATTTCTCAGTTGGCTGAGTCAATCTTACTAAATTTCAGGGCAAAGCTTTGACTGTCCAGTTCTCATGTTAATAGAGTCTTATAGGAACTAAATGATAACTAAGGGCTGAATTACAACTCTGGTTACTCTCACACCAGATGTCTTGCATATGTAACTTACTACACTGTTAAGAAGTTTACCTCTTTGCTCTTTTCCTTTCTATGGACACCTGGTAATACTGTGTGCCTTTAATTTGTTAGCTTTAAAATGACCTGAGGATTTTACACTGCCACTTATTACAAATTTGGTTAAAAGAAAAAAGTTAAAGAATCCAAGTAATACTTTTTCTTAGTGCCTAGTGCTGCAGTTGACATCTGTTAAAAGATAACCTAATTTTCTTTAAAATTCCAGTCATCTACTCCATTTGTAGGAGTCCAGGAACTTAAAGCTTTTCATGATACAGAATGATTTGTATCTTCTTCCTCTTTTTTCCTATAAAAGTTGGCCACATGTAGCTCTCAAGTATGTTCATGACAGTGTTTTAACTTTCTTACCTGCTTGTTGGCCAAGATTACATTCCATTTTTGCATAAGCGATCATTTGATCTTGATTTATTTACAGTTCATCTCTTTGAAACAGCAAAGATTCTAATGTGAAAATAGTATTTAACTTTTATAAATGACCAGTCTTTTTACAGGTCTGTTTTATATTGAGTAGACTAGTTGTCTGATCTGTGACACCGTGTTCAGCGCATGCAGTGGCAGGAGGAGGGCTCGTGTGGCAGCGTCTCCCTGCGTAGCTCGTGAGTGTTTGTCGTGCTACTGAACTGTCTGTGCAAGAGCAGCTTCCTGTAGATACCACCACACCTTCCAGAACAGCTGCTGAACAGATCAGTTTGCAAAAAGAATACAGTGTTAACTGAAGAGGCCAGTATTTCATGCTGTGAAACCTGTGCTGAAGGAAAGTGTGTGAAAAGCTGTATTAAGGCACTCATTTGCCTAATATCATGTGCAATTCACGTGCAGAGGTCCTCAGTGTTGGTGAATCTCTTCTTGGTTTGATGTTCCTGCTCGGTTGCTTGTATATGAATCTGAGCTGGCAGGAGCTCTTCAAAATGCAGATGTTCAGATCTGATTGAACTGATCTTTCGGTGCAGAAATAACTGCTTGTAAGTAAAGGAAATAAGATTTCTGTGTTAACATAATGAACTGGAACACTGGGTTTCCCTGGACAGAAAATACTGATCATGCAACTGTTACTCGATTGTTCTGTACTATGGATCAATAAAAGCCAAGCCACCTTTTGTGACAAACTTGTATAAATACGACTTTGGTTTAAGGAACGGTGTCACCCTAAGCATCGGTCTTAGAGCAGCGAGTCTTGTTGTGCTGGTGCTGTGCTCAAGGGAGGCCGGGTCAAGGAGCAGYGTGCGGGGACGGCTGTCACTTGTCACCTTCCCTTGGTTTGTGGCGGGAAAGGCTGCCTCTGTGCTCTCCGTCGTCGTGCTTTGTGCACGGGTGGGCTGCCAGCACCCGGCTGCTGCTCCCTCGGCCTCTCCAAAGCCCTTGGSCAAGTGGCCCCCTCAGCACAGGACATTTCGTTGTGGTTTCCCTGTGTTTGATGCAGTGTTCGGACCCACCTCTCTACTGCTCCTTAACTGTCCTAGGCTCACGAGGTTTTGGGTCGTGGCATTAAATAACAAGGCCAGTAATGCTGAATTCCTGCAACAAAGGCATTAATGATATCCCCATCTGTCCTGCACAAATAATGTGTTTTCATAACGTACTTTCCCTTCCTCCTCCTCGGAACTGCACTTTCCTTCCCCTGCTCCCCCTGCACGAGGGCAGGCAGAGGTGTCCGTGTTCAGAGCAGCATTTTCTGACTGCATTTCCAGCAGAGTTGCCTRTCTCTCATCATACATTTGTCTGAATTTTTACATCTCTAAGGGGTGCTCGTAGTAAAGGACAATGAAAATCACCTAATGCCACCTCTGGGCGCCTTTGTAGCTAAAGGTCTGAGAGTATTTTCCATTGTGAGCTCCTATTTTTCAGGAGTTTAGCAAGTCGGCCATAAAGTTCTTGGCCTAAGTTAAGCTTGGAGGTGTCTCCTAAAGAGAGGCTTCTGCTACAATTCATCTGGTTTGCGTTTAAATATTGAATAGGTGGCTGGGATACAGCTCTTGTAATCCTATTCATTGGTGGTAAGGTGAATTAAAGCATGAATTTGCATGTTAGGCCRTAAAATGGACTTGTAACATTTAACTGTTTTTCACAAAAAGCAAAGTTTGGATGCTGATACTCGGTTTAGAAGTGTTTCTAGAACCATGAGTGTTATTTTGATCTCTCAACGGAGGCAATAACAGAGGTGTTGACACCTTTCTGCTTCTCCAAAGGAGCATTTTACGTGTTTGTACCAAGATTCCGGTTTTGTATCTTAACCTATAAAACAGCAAGTCCAGAAACACCCCGTGTCGACTCCGTGCAGGTTCTCGTGTGCTGGGTCGTGTTGGCTGCAGGCCGTGGAAGGAGCTTGAGGGGGTCGTGGCCAGTCTTGGTACTTCTGCAATTCCATGAAATTACCCGTAACCAGTACAACTTCCATCTGCTGTTTAGTCTCTGCTAGTTCACGTTGCATGTTTACTTTAAACCAAATCTTTTTTGCTAAGCATGGTGCTTGTATTGGTTTAAATAAAACGTTTAATTAAACAGCTCTGTTCCCTGTGTTGATTGCAAAGCAGCCCTTTTACAATGAGAGGGAGGGCCRTAAATACCAGGTGTGAGTTTGTTCCTTTTAGCTGCCCGGGAACGTGCGTGGGGTTCTGCTCATCCTGCCGGTGCTGGGGAACGTGTCAATGGACCACAGAGCAAACGTGATCGATGCTGCTCTCTCTTTCAGGCGAGGAAAACCTCCTGCAGATCTTAACAGCTCTCGAGTGGAACTCATGTCCGGCACATCTGGCACCTGAATGACTTCTTGGTCAGCTAAGTGTGTCACAGCACTAGCCAAAAGCTCTGGAAAGGTAGCSAAGCTGCTGTGGAGGAAGAGGAGTCCCATTAAGAGGAAGAGCAGCTGGTTAAAGGGGTGTGTGTGKGGGAGGAAGGCTAGTACTGAACAGCTCTCCTGCAGAGAGGGCACGTGGCTGTGGATGCTGCTGCATGGGGACCTCGCCGAGGGGTCCTGTGACGTGGCAGCGCTTTGGATAGGGATAGTGCTGGTAAAAAGCACTTGGCCCTTCTYGTGGCCAAGAAGGCCAASGGGCTCCYGGCTGCATCAGGAGGACGTGGCCAGCAGGGCAGGGAGGGGATCCTGATCCTGCCCCTCTGCTCCGCTCTGGGGAGGCCAAACCTGGAGCACTGGGGGCAGCTCTGGGCTCCCCGGGACAAGGGGGACGTGGAGCTGCTGGAGAGGGGCCAGCGCAGAGCSACAGGGATGGGGAAGGGGCTGGAGCAGCTCGTGTGAGGAGAGACTGAGCGAGCGGGGCCTGTTGAGCCTGGAGGAGAGAAGGGKGAGAGGGATCTGATCAACATGGACAAACACCTGAGGGGAGGATGGAGGGAGGAAGGTGCCAAACTCTTCTGGGTGATGGCCAGTGATAGGACAAACCCAGGCTGTTCCATCTCCAGGTGAGGAAGAACTATTGTGTGAGGGTGCCCGAGCCCTGGCCCAGGCTGCCCAGGGAGGCTGGAGATCTTCCCTGCTCTGGAGATCTTCCCAACCCACCTGGGTGCGTCTGGGTGTCCCTGCTGGAACAGGGGCTGCGCTGGATGTTCTCTAGGTGTCCTTTCCAACCTCAGCCATTCTGTGATTCTGTATGCTGCCCTCTTATCTGTCATACCCAACCTTTTCTTGAGCAGTACCATTTAACATTGAATCAAAACACTATTTTCTTTTAAAATGAGATGTAAACTTGCAAACTTGTCCAATACTCTGCCAGCGAATGGCACAGTTTGGCCTGTCTCGCGGTGGGACAGCTCCTGCAGCACAGGGTGTAGAAACTCCTGAAAAGTCCTTGAACTTCAGCAGGAGCTGCGTGCTCCCCCAGCAGCTCACGACTCCTTTATGGAATTGCTCTGCTGGATGTGATTCCTTGCCTCAATTTGGTATGAATCGGTGGGTATGCAGATAGGGGGCAGGAAACAACATTTTCCTTTCTTGTTCCTGCAAAAAAACCCCCATCTCTTGCTAATTGTGTATCGCTTCCAGGTATATGAGCAGACCTGTGATGAGCGGCCCTGGTCTGTACGACCCTACAACCATCATGAATGCAGATATTTTAGCCTATTGCCAGAAAGAAGGATGGTGCAAATTAGCATTCTACCTTCTATCATTTTTCTACTATCTATATGGGTAAGTTCTGTTTCTTTTTTCTTCTCCCATTTAAGTCAGAAACTTTCTGATGGGGTTTGGCGTAGAAACATTGTACATGAAAACATAAATAACATCAACATTCTTGAATACATTGTAACTGAGGATTATTTTTCTGTTTTAAACACAAGTTGTAATTTGGTTTTAATTATTGATTTGAACCTCATTATACTTAAGTTTGCTTCAGAAAATCTGCCCGGGGACTTGAAAGCTCCAAGCCTTTCTTCTTCTAAGGCCCATTTAATAAATCCCCAGTATTTTTGTTGAGAAGCTGGAATAGTAATTTTCTAGTGTAAGAGGTTACTTTGATGTCAGTTCCTTTCTGTTAAAGGCAGAAGAGTCACTCCAGAAGTGGAAGGTGTAGGAACCAGAAAAGCCAGGGCAACCTCCGGGTTTCCTTCCTCCCCCTGCTCTCAAGCCAACAGTGGATTGAGCCACCCCTGTGCTGGGTGTTTGTGTGTCACACACCACACAACAGTGGGAACTGGCACGTGGTCCCCTTCTCTTTGCGTGCTGTAGCTCCTATGACCTAACTACAACAGTCCAAGGCTTTTAACGTGTTAATTGACTTTGCGTAGGACTCCCCATCTTAATGTTGGTTGACCTAGTGACAGCTGAACTTGTACTGTCTAGTCATGTCTTATTTTATAATGCCATTTTTTTAGTTTTTTACAAAGACATTAAATTGCGTGTGCTGGTTTCTCTAAAAACTTCAGTATAGTCACAATCCATGTGCCTCACGGCAATTTATTTCTTAGAAGAATGTATAAAACTACATAGTATTTAACATGTTATATGTAGAGCTATATGTGTTTGACAGTAATCAAAATGTTTTATCTTAATATTTTTCTTTTATTTTTCAGCATGATTTATGTTTTGGTGAGCTCTTAAGAAGACGTTCAGTGAGCTTTGTTCCAGTTAAGTGCATGCAAAAGCCACCAAACATGGATTCTAACAAGAACCTGTTACCAAGACTAAATATGGAATCTGATGATTGCATTTGCATTAGAAAAAAATGACTCCCCTCTTTTTAAAATATTTCCACATTTTATACCTGTGGAAAGACTGTTTTCTTATATTTTACTGGGACAATGAAATTAAAGAAAATTAAATGTAAATTAATATAGAATTATTTGGTTTCGAAACATTTTGACTTTGCACTCCATAAGGAACAGCCATAATCTTCAAGTAGTTATTCATTACTCTCCGTAGTATACTAGGACTTTTTCTTTTTTAACTGGGCTTTATAGTGGTTCATTTGGACTTGCAGATCCCCCTCTACCTAGAAATGAGCTGTAGCTGTGAAGTGCTTGAGAAGGACTGAAAGTTTTGCTTGTTTACCTGTAGGTGACTTCAGTCTTAGAGGTAAATACGTGGGCACAATTGCAAAAATCGTAGTTCTGTTTTTCTTTTTTGCTTTTTTTTTWATTTCTATATGGTTAAACTTTTCCTGTATTTGCATGACTGAGACATTTCCTGTATGTTCATCAAATATTAGCATTGTTTTAATTTCAAGTGTATGTCATTATGATAGGAAGATGAATTGTCCACGAAGGAATGAGTTTAAGTAATTTTTTTATATGTCTGTGCAGTCTTAATAACAAATTGACAAAGTCCAATGGTAAAAGTACTCGAGTTTGAGTAATGCTACAGACCTTTTCAAAGCAGAAACTGAAATTGTGAAACTGCCCTATTGTTCCTTAGTGCAATAAATAATAAAAAGTCAAATTCACAGATGCTTATTTTTACCTGGTGCCTTGTTTTGTTTTATAAATTGAACAAATACTTTCTATATTTAACTGCTTATTTTATGATGTGAAATTGTATTACCTTTAAAAATAGAGTTCAGAAATGAATTGTGTCTTGAAAAGGAATATTTAATTTCCATTTTTTAGGCGTAGAAGAGGGAAAAAAGTCTGAGATAAATTGGTTCTGTTGCACTGTAAATTGTTACGATATGCAGCTGCTTAATCTAAGAATAATTGGGATTTTTTTCCACTTACAGAGGGTAGAGAATAAGGAAATAGTTTTCCAGTCTTGCTTTTGTATAGACTTTATTTGTTCACTTTGGTATTCTCTGATGCGAGATGCAATAAAGATTTTAAGAGCAGCTGTATTGGGCTAGACAAGAAATCTATGTAATCCAATACCAATGTTCTGGATACTGGTGAATAGCAAGCGGTTGAGGAAAACAGCATGAAACAGGGCTGCTATTGAGTGTTTTTTTTTTTTTTTTTTNTCTGCAGATCTTCCCAAGGCGCCTGGATGCGCCCGGGTGCCCCGTGCTCCGGGTGTCCCTGCTGGAGCAGGGGCTGCGCTGGGGGATCCCTAGGGGTCCCTTCCAACCTCAGCCATCCTGTGGGTCTGTGGATCGCCGCCCTTGCTGAATGGAGCAAGGAGTGGGACACTGCTTGTGTCTTTAGGTAACGTCTCATTTTAAATATCCTCCATTGGAAAATGCTGCTGGATAATTGGGAGGCAGATGTGCCGCAGCGCTGCCGGCTGCAGCCTGCCCGGCCATCTGCCCGACAGCAGCAAATCCCGGATTGATCTGTGCCCGTGATTAACGCAGCGCGGCGGCCAGATCAAGGGATCAGCTCCAGCCAACATTCATGCCCTGCCTCCGAGTGCGCGYGTGCCATTGTCCAGCAGCGTCACTGGAAGAATGGGAAAACTGATCCTCTCCGGAGCCCCRTTTTCCTCCTGTGGCCCTGTTGCAGTGTCCGTAGGTGAATCCTCCCGTGCGGCCGCTGGCCCCGTGCGCGGGCAGAGCCCTTCCCCTTCCGCAGGCGCCTTCTGCGTCTCCTCGTCCTGAGGCTGCTTCCCGCTTCCCTGCTGGAATTTGCTCCTGAGACCCTGGAGCTGCAGCCTTCGCTGAGCCCTGTCACCGTCCCTGCTCCTCCAGGAGCGGCCCTGGTGCCTCCTCATCCGGACGTGCCCGASTTTCTGCCACGGCAATTAGCGGTGGGAGTAATTAACGTGGGAGATGGGTTTCAGTGTTACCTTGGGCAGYGCCAGTGCTGTGGTCTCAGCTTCTCCCTGTGCTCGGGCTGACCCTGCGGCGCTGCTCTGTACTTGGGTGAGAATTTAAGAGCCAAGCCTAAGGATGGGGCGGGATGCGGCCAGGCCAATGCAATGCAGTTCCTGAGGGCAGAACCTGAAGCCCAGCTRTAAACCAGGTTTGGGGAAAACAATTTTCAGGCCCTTTGCCTTGCTGCTTGCTGGAACTGAGCCCTCGATGGGGAGCATGTCCAATAACGGGAGCTCTGCAGAGCAGGAGGAAAACAAACCCTCTTGCTTAGGAGACAGACTGAGCACTTAGCCCGTGGCAAGGAAAACTGCCGCCATCTGACAGGAAATAGCGGGGCAGGATCGAGGCCACGGGTGGATTCCGCAGCCGGACGCGGCGCCCGCGCGTTGGAATTGCCTCTTGGCTGAGGGCCGCGGGTCCCTGGCACTTCCTTCCCRCGTGCAGAGCGTTTCTCACGCCGGTCGGTGCCTGGGGTCCGGCACGGCACGGCRGAGGCCGCGCAGGAGCCTCGAGATGGGGCTTTGTCCCCCGGGATTCAAATCTCGATTAATCCCAGGGAGGTCAGRAAAAGGGAAGAGCATTAAAAGCTCTCGGCCGTCTCCGGATTTCCACCCTGTCTTCCTTAACCATCTTTTAAAGCTGTTCTGCGAGGTTTTCCTTGGAGGTATTTTTTTGCAAAGAGGAAGGAGAGGCTCCTGACAGCCAGTGGTGTGCTTAGATCCCAAGGAAACTAATGAAAGGAGAATTGATTTGTTCCTTTCCTTTTAATTTCTGCCTGCATTATCTTTAAAGGGCAATCTATAATATAAGAGCCCGTTCAATGTGCAGCTCTTAGTGGTGCAGCGTTATGGCTCTGTCCCGTGTTTCCTGGCAGGATAATTGCATTCCCACGAGCAGCACGTCCCCGTGTTGCGGCTAAGAGGGACCGTACGTCCCGGTGCAAAACCTGAGGATCTCCTTTCTCCGGATACGGGGATGCGCGTGTTGCTGCCGAGGGCTGTGACCCACCGCGCAGTCCTGCGGGCGCCCTCCGTGTGCAGGACGCGGCTGCACCTCGTGCGCCGTGCGGAGCAGCCCGTGGCTTATCCCAGGCCCTGCCAGGGACCGGGTCTCCCTCAGCATCCACGTTAGGGAATCTGGTGCTGGGGCAGCTCCGGTTCTGCAGGATCTGCCCTGCCGGGGAGCTCCGGGTGTAACAGATGAAGCGAGGACAGTGAAGGTCACAACGACACGCTGTCTTTTTGAGTACATTTTCACCTGGATTGGACCCCGCTGCTSTTTCCCGCACTGCAGGGCAAGCCTGGGCGCTCGCTGGCCCCAGCGTGTGGCTCCAGCATCCTCTGTCTTGGCTTTTCCAAGGCAATGAGGCCTTGGGAGAAGTCCGGGTATGGAGAAGTCCAGCCGTGGAGTGCAAACAGCAAACCCTGGGTCTTCCAGCAAAGCCCTGCAAGCGGCCTCGGCAGCAAGAAGGGCCCAGAAGGAGCCCGGAAAGTGAGTTTTACACCCGAGGCTCCGCGTTGCTCCTCTGGGAACCACCAGGCTCCCGAAGGCAGCAGTTCCCTGCGGTGTTCCTCGTGCCAGGCTGGAGGAAACGAAACTTCCTCCACTCAAAGTCCCCAAACAAGGGGGGTGTTTTGTCCCGGTTGGGGCTGCGGAAACCCCCTCGCGAGGCCTGGCGGGAGAGGCTCTCCCTCACGTCGCTCCCTTTTAATTCCAGACGTTCTTCACGCTTCGTCGTATCAAATCATCTGCTCCGAAGCGGAATCGTATTTATTGCTGTTGCACATCTGTCCGCTACGTTTCGACCTGAAGAATATGAATTTGGTTCATCTGGCTCGGGGCAAATTCTGTTTTCAAGCTGCTCTTTKTTACTGTTTTCTTGTTTTTTGGTTTCCTGGGTTTGCAGATACGCGAGTCAAACGTTAGGCCAGATCCATRTATGTGGTATTAATAGAATACAATAATAGTATGTCAGGGAAAGCTCATGTAAGCTGTATTAATATAACATGATATTGATGTTAGGCTAAGTTCAACATACGGCATATTAATAGAATATAACATCAATATGTTAGGGAAAGTCCGTATATCCCTTGTGGATGGAATACMATGTTATATGTTGGAAAAAGCCATAACATGTTAAAGAATTGATCAAATAGAGCRTAGAATCATGGAATGGTTATGGCTGGAAAAGGCCTTCAAGCTCATGGRGTCCAAGCAAAACCCGTCCCCGCCTCGGCTGCTGGACCGGGCCCGGGCACCGCGTCCGTGCGAGCCTTGGATGTTGTTGGGGACAGTGCCGGCTGTTCCAGTGTCCCCCATGGAGGCTTGGCGGGATAGGATGTCCGTGTGTTGGGCCATGCCCATATATGTCCTGCTAATGTACAATAATCCCAWGAAAATATAAGAAATTACAAAATAGTAATATAAAAAAATGACTTTCCGTGGCATTAATATCATCAGTATTTTAGGACAAGCCCTCAGATGTTGTATTAATAGGACGCGGGGTTGGGCTGGATGATGTCTGCAGGTCGGTCCCGTCCAGCCTTGACCGTTCCTTGCCTCCGTGACGTTCGGAATTCCAAGCCCATGAATGCCGGTTAACGCAGCACCTGCTGAGGTGTAGGGCTGCGTCCCCGCGCGTCCTGCTCACGGAGGAGGCTGCTAACGCCGGCCCGACCCGTGCGTGTCCCGTCAGCACCGACCCACGGGCGAAGCCCACGCGGCTCCGCGCCTCGTTAACCCCAGCGCCCTCCCCACGGATCCGCCGGGCGCGGGGCTCG